TTTGACCCCACAGGTCAGCTGAGTGGCCCAGGGCTGATCCACAGGCTGGATTAAGCCCTGCACAGTAGAATCAGGACCTGGGGCCTGGCACCTCCCCCACTGCCCTGCTTGCAGGAATTGGGCCCCAGGGGCCTGGTACTGCCCCCTCCTGTCTCCCTCAAACCAGAATTGGGCCTTGGGGTCTGGTGTGGCCCCTGTACACTGGGTTGGGCTTTGAGGCCTGGCACTGTCCCTGCTGAGCCCTGCAGTCTGGAATCAGGCCCCTAATCCAGCCTGCAGGGCCTGGGACTCCCCATGGGTCTGAACATCTGGCAGCAGGAGAGTGATACCACTGCTCCCCCACTATTAAATTTCCAGATCTGTGGGGAGCCCCATGGGCTGGATGACACAGTGCCACGGACTGAGACCTAAGCACCCCTGCATTAGGGTACTTTGTTTAACCATTTTCCTAGTTAATCGCTTTGGGATTATGCTGCAGTTTTTTTGTTTTTTGAAAAGGAGAAGAAAGCATAATATCTACAGTGGCAGCAGTGTTATCCCACAATAACGACATGAAACGGGATGTTTAGGCTTGATGAAAGCAGAACTGAAAAGTGTTTACACTACTGACAGCTTTATTTAACTTATTTATGGACATGGCTAATGGCTTGTTACCCAGGAAACACTTTAAGTGATTCCTGTTCCAGTCTGTGCAGCGGTCAGAAGGCTGACGTGATTAATGTGCTCCAGTCACTTCTAGTGAAAGCATGGCAAATATAGGATGCCTTCTGGGCTTGTGGGGTAAAATCTTCAAGATTAAGACAGGTAGCATTTACAGTTATACTCACCATATTTTCTTACCTGTATTCAAGGGCTGTCTGATTTCTTTGGATATTTAAATGCTTTGGCAAAGTTTCTGAAGGCAATGAACCTTAAGACTGAGTGCACAGTGAGATGCAGTGAAGTGTTACCTTCTGTCTTGATTATCATTTTTGGCCTGTATAATATTGTAAATCAATACTAAATTAACTAAAAGGTGTTGCTTTTTAAGAACAGGATGTTCTTTCCAGTTATGCTAACTGGATTTTTTCCTTTTTAATTTCCTTTTGCCCAATTTAATGTTTTGGACAAAATATACTATGCTGAATCACTGAAATTTATTTCTCTGATCAGAAATATTTTGACAGCTTTTTATATAGTCTCTTGGAAAGTGCCAGGCCATGCTCAGGATGAAAGTATAAACTAGCAGTGAAGGTTGATGAAATTATAAGGTGGTGGGAAGCAAGATAAACCAAAAAGCTTTTCAGAAGCATCTCTTTTAGTTCAATAATTTCTTTTAAACTGCAGCTTTTTGTGTACAAATGATCAGTGTATTTAAATGGGTAAAACTGGAGGAAAATTAATCCTATTTTAAGTTGATACTGCTACCATTTCTTATTGCATTGCCACTGTTTCCATTAGTTTGGTAAGGATTCTGAAAGCATATAATCCAGATCCATCACAGTCACTTGTCAAATTTCTGAGGCATTACTGTAGAAAGCAAATAAGAATATAGGACTAAATAAATTCCCTGTTAATATTTCATATTTGCTGTTAATGGAAAGCTGTTGCTGGTGTGTATGTTTTTAGAACAATTTTGGACTAGATTTTATGAACTAGGTTACTTCCCTTCATCTGTTCATCAGACTTGAATGAATGATGTTCATTAACTAGTAGCAGACGTGGACATACCTGAATCATCAAATAAGGTCTGAAAAGCTATTTTTTCCCCTTGTATAAGCACATACTTTTTAAAATGTATGGTCCATGGGCCGCTCTGTGTTCCTGAACAGTCAGCTGGAGTTTTGCCATTCCACATATTCAGTGAGTGATATAGCACTCTATACACTTTACAGACAACAAATGTTTGTCTCTGATTGTGGCTGTATAGAACAAATTTCAGTGTGGTGGTGAGTCTTAATGAGCTGTGGCTGCAAGCAACTACAAATATTGCAGTGGGCAGCAGAGGCTGAACTTGGGACTTTAGCACCAAAATCACAGGCCTGTTTTGAGCTGTAACTATATCTTGGTTGTGATGCTTAGTTAAACTTCTTTCATGAAGGCTTGGAGTTAAAGCCTTGTTTCTTCCGGGCTACTGCATTAAAATGTATGCTGTGTCTGTGTTGGAGCAAACCCATTCCTAGGAAGCTGACTGCTCATCACTGATTTAAGATTGGAAGGGGCCCTGCCTTGGTCATGACCAAAGGCACCCAGCTCAGAACAGGAATGGTTAGAATTAGATTTAAATGTAGCTTCTGCTAGTGGCATGAAGTATTAATTCCCTCAACTAGTCTTAATTTGGAAAGCTCAGGATCTTAATTACTGTCTGATTAGAATTAAGGGAGAGCAGTAGATATTAGTTCACATAATGAGGCAGCCTTTCAGGTATTTTTAACATAAAGCAAATTGTATGTCCACTGACCTCACAATCCTTAAAGACCTCAATTTTCACCAATGACAACCTAGTTAGCCTCCTGTTATTAGAAGTTCATTTAATAGTTTTGTTACTTGGCTGGGAGAAAGGTCAGCAGTAGGTCTGTGTGAAGCGGCTAGTATTTGATATGGATTTGGCCAATTTGGTGACTCAATTCAGTGATTTAGAATCATTGCCCTGAATTGATTTGGCTGAATCTGATTCAGAGATTCAGCCGCTGCCCCCTACTTACTGGCATGGAGTCCAGGTCCAGCTCCCTGCGGGGGTGAGTGGGGACTGCCCGAATCTCTCTAAAGCTCTCTGAATCTTTTCCAAATCAATTTAGAGAGCTTTGAATCAATTTGGACCTTTTTATTGGTCTCCTGACTTGTTTTATTGGTCTCCCCCCAGTGGAATCAGCAACTGAAGCTTTGCACAGCCCTAGTTAGCAGTAGTACAATGCATAATTAAGCTAATGAACACAGGGGCTTTTCTGCACTATGGAGCCACTGTCCTAGAGCTGTGCACTCAGCTACACTCATAGCTGTTTGCCAGCAGAGCTCCATTGGTGAAGACATGGCATATACAGACAGAATGGGTTTTCTGTGCTGGCTTTGCTCCACTGCCTCCTTGAATAGCATATGCAAAGCTTAAAACAAACACACACAAAACCCACTCCTTTTATCTGGGCTGCGTCTACTTTTTCTGGCGTCTTTTTGCATCTCTGACATAGCTGTGCCAATAAAACTTTATAGGTTAGGCTAGACCTTGAAATCTAGACTAATACAATATTGTATGCCTGCTTCTGCAACCCTCTGCTAATCTGTAGTTTTCTCTCATGTGAGGTTCCTTTTGGGTCTTATGTATGTATCATGGAAATTGCACAAAGCTAAATTTCCAGGAGAGAGGCTAATATACAGGATGGTTGACATAAGCATATTTTATGGTTTTATGACATGATAATCCAGTAGCTGCACGTAAAATAGAAGCCTGTCTGTTTGAATCTCTGTGGCAAATACTGGTGTCTAGCTCCCATTGACTCATGAGCTTTGGAAATCAGGCCACATTTTAAGATCTTAACTTAAGGCATTTGGGTTTGAATGGTTTAGCCACAGCTTTATGCCTTGGAGAAGAAATTTTAATAAAAGGCAAGTCAACTTTTACCATCAGAAAAAATTAAGAGCTCATTCTCCAGTCTCTTTCACAATAAGCTCTTTGTTTATATTGGCAGGAAAGACATTGAGATGAGAACATTTGTGGGTTGTTTTTGTTTTTGTTTTTGTTTTTTTAACAACCCCTCCCAACTTTTATTCTGGTTCTTTGTGAGGAAGTGGTTTTGATCACCATCAAATTAGATTCCAGAATGTGCATGGCTGCAGGAAAAAACTAGTATGTTTTCATACATTAAAAAAATTATTAATAAAATGAATAAGTAGGAGTATATGGTGACTTGAGGTAAAAATAAGCCCATAATGATGCTCTCAAATGTTCTGCAATGTTCGTCACAGGAATATACAGTCTAATTTATGTGGGTTGCCTCAGTTAAGATGAAATTCCCCTCACTGCATATGACCTATTCAGTAGCATACTTCTTCTCACTATGGTTATTTATGCAGCGTTATGTCTGACCTGCTCTTTATATGTTGTGCTTGATTTATTGAACAAAAAATTAATTGAGCATTTATTAGGAATGGAAAATATCTAGTCTGTTTGAATAATCCTCAGCCTCTTTCTAATGACCAGTCTGCAGTACCCCAAACAGTGTTTGGTTAGCTCAGTCTGGTGTGCTTTATAGGGCAGGCTTGTAGTGCTTTAGTTTGGATTAATTCCACCACTTGTTATGACGTCTTTTGGCACTGCTGGAAAATGCATTCTAGAATGTACCAACATCTGTCTAATCTAAACCTGTTTTACTAGAGTCTGTTCATAATCTAGTAAGATTATATGACACTGTTCAGCAATCATTTATGTAAAATGGTTTGAGACTGCTTTGTTTGTGAGCCTACACAGCCTAAATACACTGTTGAGGAAGTAGGGAATATAGCTGCTGTAGACTGGTGCTGAGTGGTTGCCCAACTCCATTGTTTCACATTGCCTGTCCAGGGGATGCTCAGGTCTATTCTGAAGCAGCTTGATTGCTAGTGGCTGGTATGTGCAGAGCAGCAGAAGTACAAGTAGCTGTTACCTAATATTTTTTTAATGCTTGAGAAGGTTGAGGGGGAATCTGTAAAGCAATCAACCAAAACTATATATCTGTATCCATTGTTAGAGGTAGTCTGTGTGACATGCTCATGCTCACACACTCTCTCTCTAACAGCCCATCTTGTGACCTGCCAAAAACACACTTTTACACTTGCCTTATTCTTAGTCCCATTAACACAGACCGCACTGTGCACCTGCGGTCCTGCATGTCCACGCACTGATCACTCTCACAATTACGTGAAGGACTACTTCAGTCCCTGCCCTCCCTTCCCATCTCCTCTGCCTGTTTGCCCAGTCCTTTTGCTCTTCTACCCTTGGTTCCTTTTCTCAGGTTATCCATGGAAGTCCATTAACTATATTTCTTTGTCAACAGGTTGCTGGTTGGAGCACCTCGGGAGAAAGCTTTCCCAGCCCAGCAAGCTAACAGAACTGGAGGATTATATAGGTGTGACATTGTATCAGAGACGTATTGCACACGGGTCATGTTTGATGAGAAAAGTAAGCTCTCTCCTATTTTTGTTTTAAACTGAAGCAACTGCATGGGGCCACAGGGCTGTCCAATTTCTAAGTGGCCTGGGGAAGCTGGAGGCAGAAGGGGTGCATAGAGCTCCTGTTACAAATGAGCTGATAAGGACAGTTGTGGCTGAGCAAGAGTCCTGGGATTGTTACTTGACCATGCAGCCTGTGGGCTGCCAGTTGGACAGTGCTGGCTTATCAAACCGCAGGTCATGAGAGTCTTTATAACTGGATGTGATCTTTTGTTCATTTAAAAAAAAAAAAAAAAAAAGAAAAAAGGGAAAAGTTACTTTTTAGAAACTTTAAATATATTTACAGTTGCTCTTGCCTGTTTTTTGAAGATGCATAAATCTTGGTTTAATTACTAAAGCTGCATTAAAGCAACAAAAATCTGTGATAAAACTAATGTTGATTGCCAATTAAGACTTTCAGTGACTGCATGTATAAACAGTGCCACCTAAAGACTATTTAAGGTACTATGTAAAACTGCTGAAAATGTTGCAAAAAATGTTCGTTGTATTGTTTTTAATTGTAATATGTGGAACTGTTTTGTGGTGATCCACAGCTGACCCAGAGAAGGAAAGTAAAGAAGACCAGTGGATGGGTGTAACTGTCCGAAGCCAGGGACCAGGAGGGAAGGTGGTGGTAAGTCTGGGATATTCTTAAACATCTCTTCAGGCTTATAAGGCATGTAAGAAAGTTACGTGGAGGGGTGTAAACCTTTCAGAGCACGTTGTAGATTTTGTTGCTGTCTTCTAAATCAAAGGAATTTAATTTGTCCCTAGAGAAGCAGAGGATTTTAGATTATCTGAAATTTTTTTTCACTATCATGACAACTTAGAACAGAAGAGGTTTGGAATATTTTTCTAGGAAACTGAGTTTTAAGTTGGCATTATTAGGAAACTTTTTAAGATTTAATTTTAATATGGAAGCATAAGATTGTTCTTCACCTTTTTTTAACCCAGAAGAGTTCTAACCATCACACTTTCTTGCCTATGCTGCAAGAGTGGTCACATTTTCTTGGATTTATTGTGTATTAGTCTACGTCTCCGTCTGAGAGACAGTATGAGTTTTTATTATGATTACAAAGCAGTAGATGTCCCTGGACATTTTACTGGCTTTTGAGCTAGAGTTGGGGAGTGAATTAACTTTGTAATAAGACCTTGTATTAACGATGCTAGTCATGATATGAGGCTATACCATTTTTTATTTTATATGATGCGGAGTAGTTGTTTCATAAGTTATCACTGAATGACACCATAAATCTCTGTAGCTAAATAATTGTCCTTGTTACTAAATATACTTTGTAAAGTAGTGTGGTGCCAGCTACATGTTGGGTACAAGTATGTGCTGAGAACTGTGGCTGTGCTCTTGCATGGGAACTCTTCCAGCCTCACTGCCTCCAAAATTGGCAGCAAGCTATTTAAGGAAATACAGGAGTGAGTTAGTACTCCCAGAATAGGTAATTACTTGTTCTGATATGCCTCAGAACCTGAGTAGAGGGTCAACTTCACATGGCCATGAGCAGGGAGACAATAGCTGTCTGCTGAGCAAAATGTGTGGGAAGAGCAATTCCCTTCCCACAGATCCCAGTGAAATATGGCAAATGTACATGTGAGATCTGCCATATGCAGAGTTTCCAGTAACTGTATGAGTGGTGGTGCAGCCTGTATGGTAGGTGGTATGCTTTTCATTCCTGCCCAACATGCAGATGTTACAAGATATGACCCCACTGTTCTGCACAGCACAAGCAGGTGGACTAGATTCTCAGCAGATGTAGGCACTTAAGTTGTGCCCAACTCCACAGATGCTGAATTACAGAACTGTGATCTTCAAAAGTTCTGCTGAGCTCTGCCTGGCTCAGGAGGTGCCTGAAGTTCATGGGAGCTGGAACAGGCAGTCATCCTGTGTTTTCTGGGACAGTCCTGAGTTTTCAAGGCACTGTTCCAGTGTCCCAAAAAGTCCCTGAAATGGCACCTTTGGTCTGAATTGGGAAACTCTGATCCTCACTCTTTGTAGGTTTCTACAGTGCAAGATAGTTAATTAGTCTTGTTTCATTGCTAAACAAATGTTACTCCACTGATCCCAGTTCAGGAAGTAGCCATAGGATCTCAGTGTACATAGCACAAGACTGCCTGGTACCACAGGAGTGCAGTTCTGCTTCTTCTGGTTTGGGAAGCCTAATCCGCTGGCTTGCAGTGCCTCAAGAAGGTGGTCATCCTAGCTGGAACTGGTAATGGTGTAGACAAATTGTGGATCTGGACAATGTGGAGCATGTGGAGTTGCCTCCTGGATTTTGCTTCCTCCAAATTGGTTGACATATGAATCATACCATGAAAAATTAAGGCTTTAGCATCTTAGTCTTTATAGTACCGAGTCACTCAGTACCTGCCTCATGCCTAAGCCCTGCTGAGATCCATAAACAAGATTGTCATCAGTGTGTGTCATCTCAGTAGACCCATCTCTTAGATATGATGCCAGGTGTGTTGCATTTTTTTTTTTATGCAATAGGTCAGTGTTTAGAGGACTTGCCTAGTGACTGCTTATGTATCTTATATTAAATGGCCTTTGGTTATAAAATGATAAGCAGTCATTTGAGTAGGCACTAGGATTCAGGCCTCATGCTCCTTGGAAAATGTCCTGATCATGAGACTACAATCACAAGCTCTGCTTCTCTTTTTCTCTATCCAAAGAAAACTTTTATTGTGTTTTGCTAAGTGGAGAGGCCAGAGCTTGTTTCTTGGTGCCCGAGCCTTCCTGTATATCATATAGGGAGCCTATTCTTCCTAAGTTTAGATTGATGGACCCTGCTACAGGGGACAGGTACCCAAGCCCCTTGGCTAAGAGAGAACATAGCTTATTATTTGACTTTTAATGACCATTTTCAAGAAGACATACAGAAGATATAGTATGTTTTGCTTATCCATTATATCCTGGTTCTTTTTGCAGACATGTGCACACCGCTATGAGAAAAGACAATACGTGAACACTCTTCAGGAAACTCGTGATATCATTGGAAGGTGCTATGTGTTGAGCCAAAATCTCATGATTGTGGATGATATGGATGGTGGAGAGTGGAGTTTCTGTGATGGTCGATTGCGAGGCCACGAGAAATTTGGTTCATGTCAGCAAGGTGTTGCTGCTACTTTCACCAGAGACTATCATTATATTGTATTTGGTGCACCAGGCACTTATAACTGGAAAGGTATGAACCTATTTCTTCCCTGCCTTGCTAGATTTTTCACCAGTAATAATTTCTTTGATGTTAAAAAGGATGTTTTTAAGGAAAATATCTCATTGGTGTCAACCCTGAAGGTTTGTAAATTGTTCTCATAACCTGCTAAATTGTCTCAAAACTTGTACATTACAAACTTAGAAGAATTTTAAAAAGTTTAAAGTTAAAACAGAAGTAGATATACTGATTCTAATTGTATGGTAGGATTCAGTGCTTGTTTTAAAGGATGGATGTTCACATCGGAGCAAATTTTAAAGTGTTGCATACATTGTTTTTAAAGCTATTGGGCCAGCACATTATTTTCTGTTTTTTCAATGGTTTTTCAAATGCATACACCTACACTAAGGCCTTTTTCATACTTGGTCTCACAGTGTACTTGTTCCTCTGTGTTTGTGATATCAGTCCCTTGTGCAGAAACTAATTTATCCTGAACTCAATACTGCAGGTAATGAGAAAATGGCCAAAGGCCAATTAAAAGAAAAAAAGAAAGCCAAACAAAAATTTAAGTATTTAAGGGAAAATCCTGGCTTTACTTAAGTAAAATTTTCACTGGCTTCAGTGTTCTACTTAATAAAAACTAAGGGCTTGGCCCATACCCAGAAAATACTGCACCTCTTGGAAAAATAAATGAATAGATGTGTCTTGTTCAGTGTTTGTGGAAAAGCTTCTAATGCCAGTCCTGCCTCTCTTCTTAGTAATTTCTCTTTGCAGTTCATTACACCAACAGCTGAAGATGCTGTCCTCCCCCTCCTGTAGAATGTGTGATCTCTGACCCCTGCTATAAATTGTTGCTTCGTACACCTGTCTTTCATGTGAACTGTGCAAAATTTTTGAGTTAAGCTTGGGCACAAGGTATACTTCTGTGAAAACTTAATCTTTCACATATCTGTTTCTGTCAAGAAAATATGACCATGCTGAAACAGCATATTGCGTTCAGAGATTGCTTTGCCTTAATTGCAGAGAACTGCTGTGGTGGTGTATCAGTTTTAAGAGTATTTTTTCAAATTGAGGAAAACCATTTTTGCACTTTCCAAATTGTTAAATATGCCTGTCAGAAGGGAAGCACCCATTTTTATTGAACTTGACACAACTATTTTTGAAACAAAATGTTTCCCAGGTGTATCATTTAGCATTTCATACTGATTTGATAAGAATTTTCTGATCAGTATTATAGATTCATCTCATAAGACTTTAATGGAAAATGCCATTTTATATGCTGGATGAAGAGGGTTCATAATCTGTTTGTTCCATGTTTGGCTGACAATTTTATTACTGTACTATATTTTCTAGATCATTGCATGGCATCATTGTGATTCCCTCGATACACAAAATACCACGAGACTTTAAAAGGCAGCTAGAATTTACAAATTCATTCCTTTTTAAAATAACTTCACAAAACATGTTAGGCATTTGGCAGTTCAAACAACAATCTTGACAGCACTGTTGCTAATGTCAACCAGGGACCATTTCTCTTATTTATTTTCCTCCTTGTCATTCATTCATTTTTATTTTACCATTTCATTTCCTCAGGGGTGGTTCGTGCAGAACAAAAGAACCAGACATTTTATGAGCTGGGTATCTTTGATGATGGGCCTTATGAAGTTGGTGATGAGGCCTCCCGAGATGAGAGTCTTGTTCCTGTTCCAGCTAACAGTTATTTAGGTAGGATTAAGCACATGTGATAAAACTCTTGAGACTTCTTAAATACTCACTATCCAAATCTGGTAGGATAATATAAAATATGAGTAGAAAGCAAATCATTTATGGACTGTGTAAAATACAGCCCATTCTTGGTCATTCACATCCTCCTCTACATTTATGAGCCTTTTGAAGTGTAAGATGATACTCTGTTAAGGTATCTCTAAGAGCTGCTAATGTAATGAGACATTTAAGAGCTTTGACAAGGGACTTCAGATTATCAGGGTGTGATTTATAATCGCTCTCCAATGCTAAGTACTATAGATCCATAGCACTTGGCCATGTAGCATTGGGAGTTCTGGTAAAACTTGAGTTTCTGGACATGATTGCGAAGGCCTCATTGTATTCATCTGTACAACATAAAAACTGTAGCCAGCTGCCAGACAATAGTTCTCAACCAGGGTGCTCTGAAAAACTGGGGTGCTATGAGAGCCTTTCAAGGGTGCCATGGGGCACCATGCAAGATTAGTACTGTTAGGTGTGCCAACACTCGCAAGATAAACCCAGAGATTTCAAATAGAAATTCAGTGTCAAAAACTCTGACCCTATTGTAGTCTTTCTGAGTTCTTTCTTTGCAAGAGAAGAATTTCTGTTGTTTTTCTGTAGTCAGAAATACAAGTTAAGAACTGACACTTTTTGTGGATGCCTTGAATCTCAAAGGGTTGAGAACCACTGTCTTAAGACTATTTGCAGTCTGGCAGTCCTAAGTAATTCAAGTACAACATGGTAAATATGCTTTTAACAGTTAAACATTAATGTAGCTTGACACTGCTATAGTGTGATTTTTTTTTTTTTTTTTTTTTT